TTGAGAGGTGGGTGTGCGTAAAGGGAGAACAAATATGGTCCCAACACGGACCCCTGAGGAACTCCTCGCAGCGTGGAAGACCGATCGCTGTGTCTGTTGCCAACTCGTGTCTTCGCGTAGCGGCCACGCAGAAAGTTTCTAAGCCACCTTCTACAGTTCACCCCCGGGATATTGGCCGGCAAGCGACTGAGGACTCGATGATCTATGAACTCAAAAGCCTTGCTGGAGTCAATCAGCACCAACGGAGCCCCATAGGGCCTGCAGTGGAGCTGGCTTCCAACACCGCTCTTCTTTGGAAGGTTCACTTGGAAGTAATCGTTTCTGTTATGCTCAACTTCATGTATCAGGTGTGCCAGCTGCATCGTCGTGGTATGCATACTACGGCACGCATACTGGTGCGGACGAGGCGTCCACAGCCAAAGCAGTCTCCTCAATGCCATTTTCTCAGCAACCTTACCCACGATGGAAGGAAGGCTGATTGGTCGATATGACTCCGTTAGCGCCGGCGAATGACCGGGTTTCAGGACTGGGACGATGGTGGCTCGTCGCCACTGGACCGGAATCGTGCCGGCTGTCCGGCTGTGGTTGATGCGGCGGAGAGGGAATCGGAGACACTTCGTCGAAAGGTGTCGTAGCGCCTCGCTGTAGACTTCTTCCGGTCCGGGGCCTTGCCGTACGGTGTGCTACGCAGCGCTGCACGCAGTTCCGCTTGATTAAAAGAGGCATCCAGAGAGAGGGGAGAGAAGAAACCTATCGAAGATGAGGCGGCCGACTCGTTGTTGTTCTGCGGCCTAAGAAGGGGGTGGAGAAGAAATACACAAAGACTTGTTTTCCCCGTTATTTCCCGTTGGAAAACCCAATCGCCTTGCGAGGTGGGGAGGAATCCAAGATTGAGTGCATCCGCTGCTCTCCTTGCTGTCCTGAAATTATTCTTGCGGCCATCGTACATCAACGCCGTTGTGGGAGATGGAATTGATGTCTTTTTACGTCCGGAATCGTATTTTTTAGGCGAGTGGTTTGCCTGGGTTTAACTTTCTGATGCGACGCCGATATTTGCTGCGCGAGCGCTCACGGAGTAGGAGGAAGAATTGGCTCCTTGTCCGTTGCGTCTCTGCTTCACGGTCGGGCGTCGGTAACTGCAGACGGCGGGCCTTGCTGTCGGTAGCAATCCGCTCTGCCTTCGCAAGGGTGTCACCCCGGAGCTTGGGATCATCCTTGTGCATGCCGCGGGGTCAATGCCGTCGAGGTGAAACTGCAAGTGCTCTCGTAAAAGCTTTAATGCCGGTTGATTGCCTTTTTATGGTCGCATGCTGGAAGTTGTGCGTCGAGGTCGTTGGCGAAGGACTCCCACTTGGACTTCCACCAGCTGTAGAAAACTCGACGTACCGAAGTGGGTGGCGAGGGTATGGTATCCTTAAATGCCTGATGCAGCGTGAATGTCAACACATAGTGGTCACTGAGCGGCGGCACATTGGCTGTCCAGTCGGACACGGTAAGATGCCTTGACCATGTCCGGTCGATACAGGATCTCTCTCTTCCACCACGAGCATACTTTGTTTCACCAGGGGTGTTAACCAAGGCGGGTCCTGCATCCGTGCGCGGTTGTATGAAATTCTACAGCGGAGTTGCTTGGAGGGGTCTCCAGGAAGGGCTCCCACCGTGGGCGACGCACATTGAAACCTCCACACGAAATGAGCGGCGACGAGACCGAGAGGCAGTTCAGCAACCGCCTAAAGGTTGTGTCAGTTGCGGCGGTGGTCTCATATAGGTGCTCGCGACAATAAGATCACGGTTCTGACCCAGCGCGACCCGGACCACCACCACTTCGAGGCTGGAATCACGTTGAGGAGTGATGAGGGGCATACGCTTGGAGCGGAGGTTTTTCCTCACCAGCGCCGCTGCAACACCTTTCTTGCGGATACGTGATTGTGCATGGAGCACATACTCTCCAGTATGCATGCTGGCGATCTGCTCCGACGACTTCCGGGTCTCCTGGATGGCTATCATGTCTGCTCCTTGCGCCGTTATAGTTGCGAGTTTGGCCGGCGTCAGTGAGGGAACGGTCATCTGGAGTGCTGCTATGGGGCTCGGGCTTCGCTCAATGTCTCCGCCTCGCAGTAGCTTTTGCCTCTGTGCGTCACTTACGGCACGCAGACGACATGTGTAGCGCTGGTAAGCGCCGACGAAATCCGGCAGCAGTGAAACCCGCTCGTCCGTCGCATCGTCTGAATCCCACTTGCTGCGATCCCCACTGCTGTCCGCACACTTCGTGCTTGCGTGCCCCCTGGTGACCGGGATATGCGTTGGCCCTTCGCGCTGTATGCGCTTGAATTGTCCTTTCGCGACTCTTCGCTTGTCTTGGCACCTGGCCCCGGCGGTGTATTGAATGCGTTGCTGCGCCATCTTGTACCCGCAGCCCGCTGCTCGCTCAGAACGATGAGTAGCACCTCCCTTGCTGACGGTAGCCTGCGAAGTTCCTGGGAAACGGGGGACACTACTCGCACCCGCAGACACGGGAAGAACGCATGCCGCACGGAGATTTGTCGGCCCCTCCCGCTGCTCTCTGTCCTGCTAGGAGTGAGCGAAGGACTGGTCCACCGCCGCCTGTCAGCGCTGCTGGCACGCCACCGACGTCAGCCTGTATCCACGCCACGACGCACGGTCTCCGACGTGGTGACGCCTGTGAGTGACAAAACGGCACGAGGGCTGAGCGAGCGCATCGCTGTGGAGTGTGAGCGTCGCAGGGGCGGCGTCCCGCGCTGCACCGTCGCCGTCGCCGCTCTCTCGCAGTCCCGACCGGCATCTCGACTGCGTTCGACACCGTTGACGATGGGCGACTGCTGGCTGGGCTCGGCGGGCTCCCGCGCCTGTGCTGTCGAGCCCAACACTGGTTGCGCAATCACCTGGGAGGCGGCCGCGTTGGGGTGAGTGATCGCGAGCAATGTTCACGAAAGCAGCTCCCTTTAGCCGAGGCAGCCCAATGCAGCACGTGGATAACACCGTTCCGAGGAACACTTGTTTAGACGGGTGTGAGCTGCTGCCGTGCGTGGTGCATAGACTATTTGATTGTGTGGGGAGGTGCACGGAGTGACGAATACTTCTGTTTGGCGTGTCGCGGTGTGTCGGAATGATGTTCGGAAAACATGTGAGGGGTGTTGTTTGTAGTTTGTGTGTCTTCTCTGGTGGAGCCGACATGTGTGCGGGGATTGTGGCATTGCTGGCTGACGGTTCCACGTCACTTTTCAGCATTCCTGGATGTGCTGAGGAATGACGGCTGGCGACCAGCGTGTTGGCACTGCCGGTGGGAATAAGTACACGAGGAATTGGCCATTTTCTCTTTCCCATGCTGGAGCCGATGGACTGGCACGAGGGCACCGGCTGCAGGCTGCCTGCCAGCACGTGTGAGCAGCGGATCCATGCACACACAGACGCTCATCGCAAGAGCTTGTGCGATCACAGTGGCTTTTGTGGCGTGCTTTTGTGGGCGTCAGCCCGTCGGAGAATGTGTGAAGCAAACGGCTGACGGAACACGAAGAAAATAAGTGCGTGCACTGTGCCGTGTTTCGGCGTCGATGGCAGAGCGGCAGGAGGCCCGTGCTGGCAACTGAGATCTTTGCGTCGCGAGGGATGTCCGTGTTGATTTTGGATCGTCGAGGATGAAATGAATTTGCTGCTGCCCGTGTGTGTGACGACTCCGGCAGAGGGCGAACACAAAAGGGAGGGATGCAGGCGCTGCGTGTGTGTGCAGGTGCCATGCAACAACGTCACAACAAACATGCTGCGACTCGGTGACCCTCACATCGCTGTGGTCCTGACGAACAGCCCAGGCACGGCCCGCATCGATGCACTTAGTGGACGGAGTGAGGCATTTTTTGAGGCGCTGCAGGGTGCAGGATGTGTTGACGCAGCCACGACGTGCATGGAGTGTCACGATGGCACAGCCGGCTGTGGCTGGTGGAATATTTACTTCTCGGAGGCAACAGAGAGAGAGAGTGAGTGAGAGAGCTGCTGCTGCTGGCGTCGTTGCTGCCTTTTGTGGCCTCCCATGCCGATTATTGTCTGTCCGCTGATCATGGGTGGTGTGCCTCCACTAGTGACGTCGTCTGCAGGCATTTCACAGCACCAGTGAAACACACATCACGTCGCATGCTTTGGCTGTGGATATGGTGTCGTGCATGCAGCCGGCATTATTTTGCCCGACTCCTTTTCAATGCCTTGCGACAAATAGATGCGTCGCCGCCCGAGTCATTCGCTGCAGCTCCGTGTGTTGTACTGCCAGCACAATACTCTCGTGTTGTCTGGCGCCTGGCTGACAGTCAAGCACCACTGCGTTGGGAAATGCAAGGATGTGGACTGCCGCTCACGGTGTTGGGCACCGCTGTTTGGATGCGGCGGCCACACGAGCGGATGTATTGTGGCACAATGAAATGCGTGAAATACGCGGAATCACAGCGGCTGCAATAATATCAGCGGTGTGGCACCACGGAATATGTGAGGGGGTGATGCATGATGAATCACAGTGGGCGGCATGCGAGGGAAGTGCACCGCGACGGAGCGTCGCCCCGCCCTCAGCCTGCAGGGGAATGTACGCCCACAAGAATATATGGTCGAGGCACCACCAAACACACATGCCCTTCTGTGCACCAATAAATAGGAGCGAAGGTGCGTTCTGGTGCGTGGGAGTCCACTCACATATTCTCATTTCCACCGCAATAAACGGTGAGGAATCAGGTGCCACGGCAACGAAGGAGGAAATAAAAACATCTATTGCAGCACTTTTACCAGCGAAAAGCAGGAACAACACAAACTGAATTATTGGCTGCACCAACACAATAAAAATTCACAAGAGAAGGAAACAGTTGTGCACACTGCAGGAACCCCCAACACACGATGCAGGCAT